CTCTCTCTCTCTCTCTCTCTCTCTGTGTGTGTGTGTATGTGTGTCTGTGTGTCTGTCTGTGTGTGTGACTGAACCAAACAAACACCGAGACGACCACATGTACAGGTGCCGGGGGAACACAGAGAGCGAAGAGAAAAGAAAAGCTCACCTTCTTCCTCGGGGAATGACGAGTTGTGATGGCCCTGTAGACGGAGGGGGATGACGACGATAGCGCTGTAGAGGGAGGAGGATGACGACGACGGCAGGCAGACGTGCGTCAGAATGCAGAATTCCGAACCGAATTGTTGGGAGGTAGGCTGAAGCGCGGTATTTTTTAATTTTCTTTTTATACCAACAGAAAGCTTTACAAGCGCGGTATCTCAAACCCTCAGGTTCGAGAGAGTAAGGGCCGTCGACGACCAGCAATCGACGGCCCAAAATCCCACCTAAGGGGAAAACAGAGGCCTACCGTGCGGGCGCCCAAATTGGAATCAACTGAGCACACCACACGCGCACCGTATGCAGAAGGCAGTTATACGCTGGGCGGAGAACTGAGGACGAAAGCTCGGCAAGGCCCAGAGGTCGGGAAGTACAGTGGGAGGCTACCGTCGAAGCCCAGCAGCAGCTGTGGCCTAAACCATCGGTACGTAGGGCGAGGGCCCACTGGAAGCGGGTGATTAGACGGAGCAGAGGTTTCTTTTTTGTTGTTTGTTTCAGAGAACCCATTTTGTGGAATCTCAAACCAGGGTTAGGCGGTACGTAAGGAAAACGCTGTTTAATCCAGATGTGAAAATTGTGAGGCCGAAAAACAGTGACCGGCGGCGGGGAAGGGCCGGTAGCGCTAATTCACTGCGCTATGTCACTGCGCTAAGTTCCAGCGCTAATGCGGGATAGGGAAAGAGTTGCCAAACGGTTACTTTTTTCACCTCCTAGGGTAAGTGGCCGCTCGATGAATTAGGTTTTCCGAGCCTGCCACTGGTGGCTTGCTCCCAGGGGAGCAGGCAACAAGGACACGTGGCAGGGCGACTCCATAGCCGCAGACCCATATCCTTCATACCACATCATTCAGGGAGGGCTGGGCCCCATAGGAAACACTGAGGCGACATCGTGAGCAGCTGGAGAGGAGACCATCCGACTAAGGAGAAGAACAGTTTACTGGCGAATGAGATGAAGTACTACCAAGGTAATAAGATCTCAGATCTCCCAGCTTTGGCTCTCCCCTATTTACCTGTAGGGTCGCAACACTCCACCTCCTGATACGTGCACAGATACTATTGTTCTTTTGTGGAAATAGGCATGTATCTGGCTGGAAGCAAAACCTTTGTCACATATTTTGCTAGAACACATGGGTATATCTGTTATATCTCTGCGGCTAAGGCCTGGAGTATAACAAATAGAACTATGGTGAAATATATATATATTATAATATAATATAATATATTTACAGTAAACTACTATTCTTTAGCTATATTTGTTATATCTCTGCGGCTAAGGCCTGAAGTATAACAAATAGAACTATGGTGAAATATATATATATATTATAATATAATATAATATATTTACAGTAAACTACTATTCTTTAGCTCCAATGTGGACTAACTGTTATATTCCTACCCGCTCAAATGGGAATTAAATATGATTACATACACTGTTCTCAGTATCTATAACAAAAACTTCTGGCTCAAACCTTGGGTTTGAAGTCTTTTGATGTATTTAGCGGTATCCGCAAAGACCGTCAAATTCTTGCGCGCTTTCGCGCCTTCGTGGGATTCAGACGCGAAGCGTCTGCTCTTCGAGTCGTAAGGTTGCCACTGCATACTTCGAAGATGTTGTGGCTAAGGAAAGGTACTCCTTTTGACACATGGGTATTATGGGTTTTTGTTCATACTCAGTGTTAAGGTAGATACTATGAGCCCTCTGGCCCATTCGAAAAGAGATTCGAATGGTTCACCGGTTCCACCGTATGCTCTCTGGGTTGAATTGAGTACGCAGTGCGCTTCTGATGTTGTTGCCACTTCGTGGCCTGGTTTCCTCAATGTCCTGGCACATACGATTTTCGACGTCGCTGTACGAGGGAAAACGTTGTGCGATCTTGTAGCGGATCGGCCTTGCCAAACACGTCCGGACAATTATCCCACCAGCATCTCACGTTCACGAGTATTCCGTTCAACAGCGTATCAGAGACACGGTCGGGGTTCAACCAAGGGCTGATTATTCTCAGTGATCCCCTTACGCTATAAGTTATTTCCCAGGCCGTCCTCGGTAATCATGGCCTGGTCCGCGCTTGAAGAAAATTCAAATATCGAAGTAATTTCTGCGTAGGCACCTCTCTCCGTTCGAGCTCTGCTAGATGCCTGGGAGGTAGGGATCAGTTCATCCTCAAAAGGTGGTAGGGACGGCATAGCCACTGGGATAGAACTCTGCACAGGCCGGGTAAATGACACAAACCCAGGCCGCAGGCATACTCACTGTCATCAGAGAATAGCACTGACGCGGCAGTTACGCAAGCGTCAATCACAGGTAGTTACAACTCACTCAAAAGGGGTTATTAGCGGAGATCTGGAGCTCATAGCCTTCGATTAATCTGCGAAGGGGTCCCGGATTAGACCCGGACCATCCGTCTTACACAGGAAGACAAGCACTCGACTGTCCTTTGATGTTGGGTCCACGAACAAGCTTTCACAGCTCGACACCTGGCAATGCCGACAGATATCATCACCATGGCTAGCTCACCTGCAGAGGCCTTAGTGCCAATGACAGAAGCAGAGAAAAAGAGGATCAGATGAGTAATTGAGGATTGCTATGCGAATGGTATCCTCCCAGAGGAATTCGCCCCCAGGGTAGCTGACACAGGCCAAGACTTCGTTGGAGTAGTTGTCCACAAGGAATTCCACGACATCCAAGCCGAATGGACATGCGGTATCTGTCCATTTTGAGAATGACTCAACCTCCCTCCCATCATCTGTTAAGAACCGGATTATCCGGATCTATGAAGATGGTTGGGCTCAGGCTTCGGAGTTGAACGTGACTCCCAAACGAGGTGTGTTCAGATGTGATGGGAAAAACTTGGTCACTTATGTAGCCAGTGCCAAAGAAATTGCCTCGTGGATGTTAAGGAAAAGCTTAGATAAAATTGAATTGGATGGCAAAACCTACTCAGTCAGATTCCTCCGATGGATGACTGAGAATGAGATATATGAGTGGAATGAAGCCCAAAAATATCGTTACTTTTGGGTAAAAGCAATTCAGGTGCCTGTTTCAATCTTACCACATCTGAGAGGTGCTATCCAAAAAGCCTTCGGTAAGATCATCAAAGTTCACGAGGCTTTTGCTGACCCCATCTCCCTTGATCTCTGGAATGTGCGGTTCGATATGGAATTGGTTGCTCACGTTTGGTATAAGCAGCATCTGATAGTTGATCTGGCGGAAGATGGGTGGGTTGATTTAAACATTGCATGCTCTGATTCGCAGTGGTGCAAGAAATGTTGCCGATATTTTCACTCTGATGAGGACGAAACCTGCCCCATCAACATGAGATTCGCGGCACGCAGAAATTCCTTCAAAGAAGCAGTAACAGAGGAAAATACAAACAACAAAAATGAAAAATCGAAACCCTCAGAAGAAGAAAGATCGGCCACGAAACTGAAAGGGAACCCTGTCCCCAAGGATAAGAAAAATAGCCGCGGTACTCAGGAAGAAAAAGACCGTAGTTCGAGTGAGGATCCCGCAAATCTGCAAAAGAAACCATCCTCCAATCTTGCTGAGGATACAAAGAAAATCCTTGATAGCCGAGGTGCTAAACTCAAAGTCCGCCGTTCCAAAAAAGGCAAAGAGAAAAAATCTCTCTCCTAACGAGTTAAAAAACAGCATAACAACGGCAAGGGCAGTAAAGAGGAGATATAATCCTCGAATGTATCCTCATCATCCCCTCTCCCTGCGCCTTCCTCCCCCCCCCATCAGCCTTCCCCCCAACCCCTCTCCTCCTCTCCAGTTACGACGCAGGCTGAACCGAAGGAAAAGACAGATCCAGCTCCAATAGGTAGTTCTTCCAACGAGAAGTGGAGCCTGGACACAGTCCATCCATCTTCCCATGAATCCAAGATGTCGCCTGAAAAACCCGTTCACTCCCCCTCCATAAAAGAGGTGGACACATAAAGGAGAAACGAGAAAGGGGCAGAAAACCAGGCTGATGGGTTGGGTAGGGATTGGGAAAAAACCACACTCATATTCAAGGTCAAACCAACAGACCAGATAGTCTCAGCCAAAAGAAAGAAGAGACAGGAAAAAGCATGCAAAAAAAAACATATAGAACAGACAGGAGGGATAATTGACTCATCAAACCTCCTTACTGTATTTCCTGGTCCTCTAAAAAAGTTAAAGGCAAACGATACCTCCGCAATCCCTTGCCACTTTACACAGCATAAAGGCAGGGAAGAGGCTTGCCTCTCAGATAGAAAAAAGGGAACCTTGCTGCAGAAATAGACGAAAAAGGCTCTGAGCTTTGCCAGACCAATCAAAACTTTGTCTCGCAAGGACAAAAATATGAAGGTTATTTCTCAGTTTTTGGTTCCGCTCATTGTGTTTAAAAGTGATTCAGGGGCAGGGATTCTCATAGCACAAGGCAAGAACGGGGTGGTGTTATTGCCATCCATCTCTGTTCAGTCATAACCGTCCGATTCTCTCGCGGTAGACTTGACTAACACCCAGGTACTTAAATCAGCGGGTAAGGCGTCGGGCTTCCCACACTTCAAGATGGGTCGTCACACTGTGACAGAAAGCGCTAACTCTACGGTACTACTGCATATGGCTATCCTGAAATTAAGTGACTGGACGGGGCAAGTAGGCACGAAAAATACATACCATCTACAATGGACAGGTCTGTCCCCACTGCTATTTGCCTCCTCCACAGACCTCGCGGAGGCCCGGATTGAGCTGGATATTCTGGCAAACCACATTGCAGATTAGCTAGTCCACTCGGAAATCCAGGAATCCCTCGACACAGACCAGTTGTTGAGCCAGCTCCTAACATGGGATATTCAGCGCAATCCATCTGACATAGACCGCATCCATGAACAAAGCGGCAACGACCACAAGGATGGTCCTGCCAAACAGGATTAAAATAGTCTGCTGGACTCTAAGAGGGTTGGGGGACACCTCCAACCTCACCAAACATCCGAAATTCAAATCATGGGCACTAAAAGACAATCCACATATTGTTTGTGTGCAAGAAACAAAACTGAATAAAGGCAAAATCCCAAACGGGC